CAAAGGCAAGGATTATTATTAGTATTACTTACCAACACGAAGGCTAGTACAAACATAGAGACTGCTGCATCTCTTCTCTGTTTGTCACCTTAAATGCCTGCTGTGAAAGAACGACTGTTGTATTGAAAACTCCCTTAGCAATGACCAGCTCAACCCACCGTACAACCTGTTGCAGCAGTACCTATGGTCTCTGCCCCAACATGAATTAAACACATCTGCCAGTTCAGGTGGAAGTTGAAGATCTCTTGACACTATGTGAAAAGAAGGGGAGTTTCAAGTTTCACTCAGGATTCTAGCCAACAATCCTTCACATAAATTGGTCATTATTTTTTGGCTATTGTTTTCAGGCTCCACTGCCTCCCCTTACCTCCAAGTCCACTCACGTCCTTGCACATCCCGATGCCTCCTACCTCACATTCCTCTGCTCATCCTCAACAATCAGCTAACTCGGGTTTGCTGTGTGTCTCCTGATCTACCTATCCCACCATCGAGCCTTCCAATTCCACACTCCTAACCTCCTAAGCTCCCTCCTTCATCATGCCCTCACTCCATCTGTTTCCAAGTTGCACCTCAAAACCTATCTCTTTGACCGTGCCTATGGTTACCTATTTCCCCTCTCTCTGCTCGGTGTCTGCCCCTCCATTGTAAAACCACTCCAAAATGTTATTCTATGTGACGGACACCATATAAATGAGAGCCACTGATGTTGCTGTTTTGGGGACTGTGAAGAGTGCCATTTGGCTGCCACATTTGCCCATAAATATACAATGATTCCACTTGGCAGCATTTCCCTGGGAAATGCTTTGATAAATTTCGACGTTATATCAAATGACCGTGCGACTTGTGTTTGTCGTTTGTTTGGGGGCTGATGTCACTCATTGCCTATTGCCACAATGCCTCTGAGGGAGAAATCCATGGTGTTCATCCAGTCAAGTGCATGAGATGATAAGAGTAACTGAATGTGGACACCATTCAATCAATTCATCGCTATGAACTCTACACCCATTAACACTGTAACCAAGGAAAGAGGCTGGTGTAAATAAATACAAGTCTGGATCCCAGTACTAACCTAGGTCCCCTTTCAGATCCAGAGCTGACCTTGATTTAGTTTGCACAACACAGCTTGCTCATTGTGGTAATTAGCTCTACACGTCTGGTTACCAGATGCAGTCTTTAACATTGAATTTCGCATTCCCCAAAGAAGATGGAAAGTATTCATTGCGATAAATCAGATGGATTTTGCATTGTGATGCTTTTGTGCAATTCTCCCTTGTGGGAGTGGGAGTAAGGATGGCTTTGCCTGCTTCTTGGCAATCGCTGACGAAAGGTATATTGCAGTTTTAGCTAATTTTCAGTTCGTAAATTCTGCAAGGCTCCTGGGCCTGTCTTGGAATCTCTAACAACATTCACTGGATGCTAAGCCACGAGCTATCACAAAGAGCTGGCTAGCTGTCTTCTTGCGAAGAAAACAGATATTAAAGCCAGCTTCGCAAAGAATTTATGTTCCAACAAAGGTGCAATCCCAAGTCGGTTTAAATTCAGTATTTGTGAATAAAATTATCCAGGCCGTTCCCTCGAAAAGAAACTGAAAAGAACTGTAAAATCTCTGTGCTCAGTGTTGCTCCTTAAACCCACGCCATTCCTTATCAGAAGATCACAAGACAGGTTTGGATGAAGAAGGCTCTGCGTCCCATTCAATTTCGTCCCTCCAGAAAACCCACCCTGTCTTCCCATCAAAGCATCCAGCTGCTTTGTAAAATAGTTCAATATCCTGGCCTCAGCCACCCTTCCTGACGAACTGTTAATTATCCTCTTAGTAGAGAAAAAAAATCCTGGTGTCTTGAAATTGCCATTGGCAACTCCAAACCTCTGGTCCCTTGTTCTACTGTTCCAGGCTTCTCCTGGGGGCTCTTTTTCAATGTTATGGCCCCAGTCAGTAATCCCAGAGAGGCTGCTTTCTGTGTTCAGAAACTGTCCGAAACATTGCCTCCCACTGGGTGGCTCAACAGATACACTGAATAACACTGTGTGCCTGCTCTTCTACTCAGGCAATAAATAATAATAACTTGCACTTATACATCGAATAACGTATAGATAGAGCACTGAAAATGTCCGACTAGTCCATACTGGTGTTTATATCCTCTCTGATCCGCTTACCCCCCCACTCCACCACCCGTTGCCTCCGCTCAGCTGGCTCCAGCCTCCTGTTCGTCCCTCGTGGCCCCCCCACCCCTCTCCACCATTGGTAGCCGTACAACTCCCTGAAACTCTGGAACACTCTCCCTCGATCCCTCCGCCTTCCCCCTTCCTCCCCACTTTCGAATCCCGTTTAAAGACCTTCCTTTTTGATCATGCTTACGTGCCCTCTCCCTGTGGCTTGGCTTCAGACTTCGCACCCCACGTGAAGGGCGCTATATAAATGCAAGTTGCCGTTATACTCCGCACAAGACCCCATCCCTCCTACTCCCCTCACCGACAACCCATACAGTGCCTTTCACGTCACAAAAAAGTCTCAAAGTGCTTTACAAAATAGAATGGATTAGAAATTAAGTGAATGAGCAGCAGCATCCCACAAATAAGGAGTGGAATTAAAATTGAATGGTGTATCGTGTGGGAGGAACCTGGACAAACTTAAAAGGGAAGAAAAGAACTCCTTTCTGTAATTATGGATGATAATCCTGTTTAGGACAAACCTGAGTTTGTATTATAAAAACAAAACATGAATCATATCTATGCCTTATTTATCACTGGTTATGGTACAGTTTTTCTACATGACTCATGGCTTAATTAACTGATTCAAACTAGGAAGCAAATTACACAAGGCTGGTTAAAGGAACTGCAGTATGTTCCTTCATGTTCATTGTTTTACTGCTGGTGTGGCTCGTCTCTTGCTTTGTCCCCTGATCCAAGTGAATGATGAAAGGCAAGATTCTCTAGCAATTAAAATCATGCAGTGTTACAACACTGAAATAGGTCATTCAGCCCATCAAGTCTGTGCTGATATTTTTCACAATCTAATTCCACTCTCCTGTTCGCTCCCCCACCAGATAATATTCCGCGCACAAAATCAATTCACGTTAAGGTATATTCGATGAAGTGCTTTGATAAGTCAGGAGGACGTACCAAGGCACTGGACAAAAGCTCATATTAACTGCAAGGATTATTATTATTATTATTATTATAATATTCCTCTTTTTCAAGGTTCTGTCTAATTTCCTTTTAAAAAAATTTGTAGACTCTGCTAGACTATTGCTTAGGGTGGTCCAACTGGCATCCTGTGGACCGATTTCATCCCCCCCAACCTCCATTTCATCTGACCCAACCACTCCCTCTATAACCTGTAAACGTTATGTAATGTTTTTGGAAGGGAAATGCAAAAATATTGCTTAAGCGGCGTTCTCAAATGGATTGTTTCTACTTATTGCTAGGTAAACAGAGACGTGAGGAGTAAGGAAACCTGCCCAAAGTTTCGTCCTGCCCTGCATCTCCACCAATACTCAATATCACAGATAATGACAACTATCATTTCAACATGTGAACTGCATTGATTAATGTGTTCCTTCATTCCAATCACAGAATGTGAAACTGCCCTACGGACCTTTAGAGATTTCGGCTTATCCTAAGGAACAGCGGCAATAACCATTGCCATTTAGTAGTCCTTTATTCAACAACAACAACTTGCACTTACATAGAGCCCTTCATGCGGGTTAGCATCCAGGAGCTTGACAGTGGCGGAATCTGACCCCGAGCTAGGGGCAGAGGGAGGGGAGGAGGTGACCGTAAGCACGATCAAAAAGGAAGGTCTTTTGGTCAGATTTGAAGGTGGGGAGGGAGGGGTCAAGGTGGAGGGATTAAGTGAGAGAGTTCCAGATTTTTGTGGCTTAGTGGCTGCAGGCACGTCCACCGATGCTGGAGCGGAGGGGACAAGAGACAAACAGGATGCCGGATTTGGAAGCATCCTGTCTTACGCTGACCAACCACTGAAAAACAATTTACCAATAATAATCTGGTGACCAATACTCACGGAAATAGTCTGTGCAAACAAAGGATTTTGTGGGGTTGATCTCATCAATGAGGTCTAACATGCGAAGGTTTATAATGGGATGTGTTAATACCTGGAGCCCCTCATAGTTACTAAAATTACATCACGCGGACACATGGGAAGTCCAAATGTTTATTGAGTTGGGAGTGGAGCTCCAGCAGATTGCCATGAAGTAATTTTCCTTGTTAAGAAATCTTATCATAAATCATATTAGGATCTTTAGCATCCACTGATCACGTTTCATGTCTCATCTAAAGGATAGCACCGCCAACAACACATTGAAGTTTCACCCTGGTTCTTGATCTTAAAGCCGTTGAACCTACAACCTGGTTGGTCACTGCGAAGAGGGATTCCTCCCAATCACTACCTGTTAACCCCACAAGCCAAAGCCCTAATAGGCAGAGTGGTCTCAATTGGACTAGGAATGGAAAGTGCAATCAAAGGCAAGCTCTGGATTTTTAAGATGATTAAACTCTAACGCACACTCTGGGGTCCCTAAACCTTGGTTATTGCCATTCTGCAGCTAACACTGTCTAGAATTAGGGTACGTTCCTCCAGTTGGAGAGTGTGCACACCATCCAGACCCAAGTAAATCTATGTGTAGGTGGCATCTCCATCTAAATCTGGTTTGGATACTCTTAAACCTGTGATTTTCCCACATGTGGCAGGCAACTGGTCACACTTAAAAAAAACACTTCCACAACCTTCAGTAAACTGAGATAAGAATCCTAGTCTGCTTTAAAGTAAGTCCAGTAAGTCAGTGTAGGGTAGGAATAGTGAGTCTCAGGGTTGTTCTGGGAGGGTGGAGACCTTTATAGGTAGTGATTTGCACCAAGCTGTGCCTGTGGCAGGTGAGTTCCTCAGTTCAAAAACCAGGTGTTCACCGGTAATTATTTACTTATTGGCAGATTTGATTGCTGAAACATCCGTTGTTGCTATTTAACAATGATTTACTCACCAGAGCATTTTTCTCCTCCCCCTGCCAGCTGCCCGTTGCCTGTGGCGGCTGGATTTTACAAGCTCTGGGGGGTGTTGATGGTTGTGCACTGTCATTTTTTGATTTGTTGGCCTGATCTTCAGAGACTGTGCTTTCAGGATCCACCATGGCTTGACTCACATCAGAGGATGCTTCAGGTGTAGTGACATTTGCTGTGCCACAGACAGAAGCTGGCGCCTGCTTTTTTGCCTTCCGCCTTTAGTTGGAGGGAAAGGGAGAGAAAAACCTTAATTTAACCAAAATTCATGCAGCGCTATGAGAAACGCTCTTTTAACACCCGTTACATCACCAACAAACACTGGTGCTTTTCAGGTCAATGAACACAGCCATCGTCGGATCGATGCCAAATTCATATCAAACAATATTTTTTATTTATTTATGACACACAACAGTCCAGCTCGCATCATGCCAGCAAATGACTGTTCAAAACCTACAGGAACAGTCTCAGTATTCTCTAAAGAGTTGCCAGCTCAATTGTAGACTGTAAATGTGCCTCCCCTCGAAACATCACTAATGCACAGTTGATTTCCTGCCTCAAGTTCAGGCATGTTGTCTATTACCTGACAGGCCTAAGACAGGATTCAAACGAAACATATGGTAATTTAATTAACTCCTTCTATTCCACAAGGCGTCCCTGAACATGTTGTACAGCTCGAGGCTAAATACCAAACATGATGAAATTGTTTCCTCCTCCAGTGCACACCTCGCCTGTGACTTATTGCGTGAACATTGGACAAGAACTGTTCACCTGCTACTTACCAGCCAGTCTCACACTTGACCTGCTCTGCAATCGGGAGATTAATTTTCCATTGTATGCAAAAGGTTTCCTGAGTTATACGGGTTAAAACCGGCAATAAAAAACGCATTCACTGGCAGCTAAAAGCAATGGCTAGTAGATGAGTAGCCAAAAGCTCCGAGGAACAATTTTGCAAAAACAAATAGTGATTTTGACATTTCAGTCAAAAAATGCAGAGTGAAAATCTTAACTCCTGCAGAACAATAGCGGCTGTAATTACCGTTTTTAAACTGGAAGTAATAAACCATTTTAACAACTGCGATCATGTGAAAATCACCTATCAATACACGAAAAAGCAGCATTTGTTTTAATGTGTGGGGACGGGGGGGGGGGAGGTTTGCTGCTCTGTTACCACAGAACACCTATATATTTTCCCTTCTTACTACTGAACAGCTGCTATATTCTGAAGTTTGGTTGCACAGTTTAAAATGTTACTAGACTGAATACATAACTATAAAGCAATTTGCAACTAAGGCTGATTTATTGACCGTATTTTCAGATGGGGCCTATTGTAGAATGCTTCAGATCTTTCAAACACACAATGCTAATCGTACATGTGGCCTCCATGTATCATCACTGTGTTTGAAGGCCGCAATTTATATCCTCCCTCCTCCCCGTTTCATAAAAGGGTTCAGTGCCGGCCTATTTCTGCACCTTCCCTGTGTCTATGAACTGGACGTAGTAACATTGTACGTCTACTCATGGTACCTATCGTGGCTATGTATGGAGTCCTATACCGTATTGGTTAGAGAGCTCGCCTCGCTTTTGAGGACCTGGGTTCGATTCCTGGGTCAGGGTGAAACCTGAGGCAAGTTTCTTTACTCCACATCCCTCTGTTTACCGAGCAGTTAAGTAGGAACCCGGTTGTTAGTCGATTGGTGGATCACTTTTCGGGGGTAATAATCCTTTCAAAAAAGAATAATAATTTGGTCACTCATTCCACGACAACACCTTGAGCATCTGATGGTGGCCAGTCCAATGGTAGAACTGGAAGAGCTGCCACGGACAAAAATATGGGTGGAGGTGGGTGAAGAGCAGGTATATACTGGAGGGACAGAACTTACTGTCATTATTATAATAATAATAACAATAATAATCCTTGCATTTGATATAGTGCCTTATCACGTCTTTGAGACGTTTCAAAGTTCTTCACAGAATATACTGTAAACTGAATTGATTGTATATGGAGTCCTGTAGCTCAGTGGTTAGAGCACTCATCTCGCAAGTGAGAGGACTCAGGTTCGATGCCCGGGTGGGACAAAACCTTAGACAAATTTCCTTAATCCACACACCTCTGTTAGCCTAGCAGTAAGTAGGAAACCAGTTGTTAATCTTTTGGCAGATTGCTTTCCAGAGGTAATAATCCATTCAAAAATAATAACAATAATTTGGTCACTCAATCCATGACTGTTTGTGGGACACTGTTGTGTGCAATTGGCTGCCGTATTTCGCCCACAAAATATACAGTCAATTCACTTAATAGTATATCCTGTGAAACGCATTGAGACATCTCAAAGTCATGATAAGACACTATATCAAATGCAAAGATTGTTATTATATTTTGTGGGCGATGTTAACGCCAAGCTTGGAAGATTCTGGGTTCCTTTGTTTCCACAGGAATCAGAACAGTGGCTCTCAATCTAATCTGTTCAGAAATCACGTGAGCTTTCATCTCTAGACAGAGGCGTATCAATCCTGCACAGAATTGCTAGTTGGATTTTGATAAACTAAGCATGAATCATACAGAACATAATAATGACCCTTGCATTTGATATAGTGCCTTATCACGTCTTCTGTATGTCTCAAAGCGCTTCACAGAATATACTGCAAAGTGAATTGACTGTATATTTTGTGGGCAAAACACAGCAGCCAATTGCGCACAGCAGCGTCCTACAAACAGTCGTGGATTTAGAGACCAATTTATTATTATTTCTATCTTGTAGACGCACTGCAATAATACTGCAGCATTAAATCTTAGCCTTTATTTTTTCTGTATAGACTTGATTTTCGTTTGATCATTTTTCACCTCAGTTAGCTTTGTGTGATACGTTCCCACTCCCCAAGTAAAGTGGAGGGAGCTGATCTAATGTGGCACCAGTGAGTAGTTTGATGCCTTGATTGGTACAAGAGCACTCGATTAACCAGTTACCCCCTCATTTCTCTGGGTGACCCGACCTGGGCTTCTTCAAAGTCAGGCAATGGATGGTGGTCGAGATGGGGAATCAAACTCAGGGCTTCCAGTCGAGATAGATTCTGTTGCTACAGCTGTCAACTTGCCTTGGGCTTTATATTCTCTTTATTAATGCCTGACTTATTACTTGCTGTACCTCATGGCTGTTTACTCCAAAGGAACAATATGCTCTCCTAAGTCAGGGTCTTGCACGCTCTGTTCTGCTGGAGAAAAGATATGGGGATCTTTTCAAAGAACCCAAAAAAAAATATCGCTGAGAAGAAGTAAGACAGACGAGCTTTATGCTTTTCATGGCTGACATGAACCAATTAGGAGAACCATAGCCTCTTGCCACCAGAAATCATGGGTCAATGAAAACAAATTGCCTGCGATTCCATGGTTGGGGGTCTAAGAACTTTTTGTGACATCAGGCAGTGAATGAGCTCCTGCCACTGCCCAGACCCCCTCCGTAACACGGAGGAAACATCCTGAGCTTATGATGATTGACAAGAGGTGACAGTTTAGGAAACGCGCTTTTCTTGAAAAAAACAAAAAAGGAAAATCTGATCTGTAAACAAATTGACATCATAACAAGCACTAAACAGCTGTCCTGGTTTTGGCCGATTTACTGATGCTTCAGCGACTAAAAATCACAATGTTTTTCCAAAGCAGCTTCATTAATTTGTGGTCTGGCATTCATTAGGACAATAAGCCTCGAGGGACTACTTACAGCTTAGCCTCCATGGTAATGATGTGAGCCCTGGGTCTGCTGATTTTAATGTGGGTGCAATTCTTGGGCAGTGCAATAACACAGTTGTTACCAATTTTGTGTGGACAAATCAGCGTCTTAAAAATAAAGCACACCGAAAAAAAACGTTAATAATATCAACATGTATTAGTGGTACTTAAAAGATAATGCGCCGTAGAAAATGCAGGCTTTATCAACAATTTAGTCTGTGATATGAATTTACTAAACACGGCTGAACGCACAAATAAAAGTCCCCGGTGAAATAAAGAAACAAGCAACTACTTGTTCCGGCCTGCAGAGAATTCTCAGAATTTATCACAGTAAGCACTGGTAATGGAACTTTACACTGTGCAGAATGAACAAGCCATTCTGTAGAGTGGGGGGAAGTAATGAAGTAATTAGCTGGACGATTATAAGCACCTGTGACACTGATTAATATAAGTCTGCTTTCGCTGAGGTTTGTATGTAGCTTTTACAATTGCCAAGCCTAGTGTCCTCTGTTAACCGCTTTCTCCCCCCCCACAGATTCGCTGATAAGAAAATTCTATTCGAGGTGACCCGACAACAACACAGAGGAAAAATCAATTTGGAGCTGCTCGAGCGAAGCAAAGTTGGAACTGGCCGGTGTCAAATGCAACAAACTTAATGCATTGTGCTTTGTCCTCCCATTCTCAAACGCTGACGTTTCTGATCGCCTTAGAACGGCAGAAGCACTTCCCCATCTCGTGTTTAAGCCACTTCTCGCAAACACGATGACACGCGATTTATTTGGATTCTTTTCCAAGTTGTTAAAATTAATATGGTAAATGATCTTTAATTAACGGCTGCCTTTCAGCCGATTGGAAATAGTCTAATAAGCCTCCGCGCAGCACAGGGTGATATCATGACCCTTTATTACATCTTGGTAAATAATAATATAATATTAAACAGTTATTTATCAAATAATGTGCTTTTTTTAAGATGAAAAAGTCTGTAACTGCATAAATCAGACTGTTATTTTTAAGCATTGCTCTTTCTCCTTCGTTCAGCTCTGGAGTTGTTATGATGTAGAATGAACTGCCTGAAAGGTGTTGGAAGCAGATTCGATGATAGCTTTGAAAAGTGAATTGGATAGGTACTTGAAAAGAAAACATTTGCAGGGCTACGTGGTAAGAGCAGAGAAGTGGGACTGAATGGATAGCTCTTTCAAAGAGCCGGCACAGGCACGATGGGCTGAATGGCCTCCTTCCGTGCTGTAAGATTCTATGGTTACCATTTTTTGGTTAAGAAAGAATGGTGATCAGTTTGGAGTTGCCTGAAAGGTCACAGGTCTCCTCTCTTTCCATGTTGGAGCTGCTTAGCCTTGGTTTGAATGGCAAGAATTCAGATCTCTCGGCTGAGATAGAACATTCATACCCCAGGAATCCTAGACGTGGGCTCTCAACAACAACAACAACAACAAGATTCCATTTATAAAGCGCCTTTCACATCAGGAGGACGTCCCAAGGCGCTGCACAGTTGGGTCAGGACCCGAGCAGGGGGAAATGGTCAGGGTGAGGGGGGGAAGGGAGGAAGCGAGGAGGGGGGAAATGGTCAGGGTGAGGGGAATGAAGGGAGGGAGCGAGGAGGGGGAAGAGAGTCGAGAGGGGAGCTGAAGGCTCGGTCAAAGAGAAAGGTTTTGAGACCGGCCTTGAAGGAGGAGAGGGAGGAAGCGGCGAAGGCACTGGGGGATAGAGTTCCAGAGCCTCGGGGCTGAGAGGCTGAAGGCCCGGCCACCGATGGTAGGGCGGTTGGGGCGGGGGATGTGGAGCAGACCGGAGCTGGAGGAACGGAGGGTACGGGCAGGTAGATAGGGGGATAGTAGGTCAGAGAGGTAGGAGGGAGCGAGGCCGTGGATGGCCTTATAGGTGAGGATGAGGATCTTGAAATCAATCCTCTGGGGGATGGGGAGCAGTGGAGGCGAGCGAGGGCGAGGGTCGGAGTGATGTGGTCGCGGTGTCTGGTGCGGGACAGTACACGAGCTGCAGAGTCCTGAATGACCTGCAGTGTGGAGGGAGGGCCGGGAAGGCCGGCGAGGAGAGAGTTCCCATAGTCCAGCCTTGAGGTGACAAAGGCGTGGACCAGAGTTTCAGCCGCGTGAGGGTCTTGGGACGTCCTCCCGACGTGAAAGGCGCTAATCAAATTAATTTGTTGTTGTAGTAGGTCTGTGCATAGAGTGGTGTGTGTACACATTACAAATGCACACGTAAATACAAACACACACATTTTTGTACATTTTTAAGGGATGGGAGAAGGGGCAGATAGAATGACACAGTTGCCTGCCTATTTCAGTGAGTTTTTAATGCATATTTTGCCAGTGCATTCCTTTTTATCACTCTGTCATTTAATTCACTCATGAACTTTAGACAAAATCATCAAGCTGGGTGCTAGGTGGGACTTCATGTGGCTGGATGTTAGTGTATTGGTCTTTGCTGCGGGTGGGGGGGGGAATTAATCTGCAAAGACCTGAAAAATAAATATATATTTTTTAAACATATATAAAAAAAAGGACCATAGATTGCGTTTTGCTCCAAATGTTTTAACTTCAAGCCCCAGCGGTGGTTATTCCGAAACGTGACGCCATTTCCAAGGCATCCATGCACTGCGGAAAGAGGTCCTGCGGCTTTTAATCAACAAGAACAACAACTTGCATTTGTATAGCGCCTTTCACGCGGGGTAGTGTCCCCGAGCCCCTGATGGTGGTGGAGTCTGACCCCGAGCCAACCCACTTGCTCCCAGCTGGTGTCGTGCTTACCTTCTCTGCACAGCTCACACACAAGGTGGCTTCCTCCACTTCTTTGTACAAACTCCCGTTATTGCAAGAAGTATGAATTGTGGCTGCATACTTGTTCAGCAGTATTTCGTCGGTTGAAAGGGCGACAGAGAAAATGTCTCGCACCAAGGATTCGTCCGGGTGGCTCTCAAGCCCACTGAGTATGGACCGACCTGCGAACGGAGCAGAATTTGTCTGTTGGTTTCAGGACTGAATTTTGTTTTGTTACGAAGCATTTTGCTACTGACAGCTTTTACAGCTTTTACTGCTATAACAAGCCTTTCCTTCCTTCCTGTGTTGGAGTCCTGTAGCTCAGTGGTTAGAGCACTCGCTTTGCAAGTGAGAGACCTGAGTTCAATTCCAGGCGAAACCTTGGGAAAGTTTCCTTACTCCACACAGAGCCTAATAATAATCCCTCCAAAAAAACAAACAAAAAAACCCAATAATAAATTGGTCATTTTCAATCTACGACTGTTTGTGGGACATTGCTGTGTGCAATTGGCTGCCGCGTTCGCCCACAAATATACAGTCAATTCACTTTACAGTGTGCTCTGTGAAGCGCTTTGGGACGTCCTCCCGACGTGAAAAGCGCTATATCAAATGCAAGGATTATTTATTATAAAGGAACCTGTGCTGCTGCAGGAGGTAGAGTGAGCCTGATGATAATCCACTAGTCCACTAGGTGGTAGCTGCTAACCACTTGCCCATTGTTATTCCCTGCTATACCCTAACTTTTCACCCATCTGCTCCGCCACTGTCCTGTGAAACCAAATTGAATGCCACTGTTACCTGCTCATGGTGCATTTTAACACACAACTAATTGTACATTTTACACGAGGATGGCATTGCTTAGTGTTTGTCTGTGGCCAAATTTCTGAAATATTGTGGGAAAATTATCAAAAGTTAAATTATTTGAAGATCAAACTCTTTCCATTACCATTATTCTATAACTACAGTCACCAGTGATCGACTGCTTTGTAAAATAACAACCTATTAACTCTGCATCCTTTTAATTTCCAGGAACCTGTTTGGTACCCACTTGAAATCCTTTAGACTATAGTTACTGTAGTTAAGCGCTCTGAGATGCCGTCCGACGTGGAGGGCGCTATATAAATCCAAGTTTTTGTTGTTGTAGTTCCCACTTCCATCACCTGTACTGAGAGTTTGCTCCATATGCCATTCTTTTACTAAGAATATTTTTGATTTTGCTTCTGTTGTCCTTATTTTTAAGCTAAGGACCCCCCCCCCCACCCCCTTTTCTCAATGAGTTTTATTTTATGCAGAGAAACACATTTGTATCCAAACCATTTGCAATTTGAATGCCTGAATAGAATCCGATTATATAACTCAAGGTCAGTACTGAAACAATAGTCCAGAAGCTTAACAGTTAGACCTCTCGCCTGGCAAGTGAGAGGACCTGGGTTTGATTCCTGGGCCGGGCGAAATGTTTCCTTACTCCGCACGTCTCTGTTTATCTAGCAGTAAGTAGGAACCCGGTTGTTAAGTCAATTGGAGGATCGCTTTTCCGGGTGTAACAATCCCTTCAAAAATTTAAAAAATATAATAATAATTTGTTCACTCAATCCACGACTGTTTGTGGGATTGCTGTGCTGTTGCTGTGCACAATTTTCACCCCAAAAGTATATAGTCATTCCAGTTTACTGTATATCCTGTGAAGCGCTTTGAGACGTCTCGAAGACGTGATAAGGCTCTAAATCAAATGCAAGGATTATTATTATTAACAGCTCCAGCAACCAGAAAGCTGGATACATATTCCGAGTCTGCCCTTTAATTTAATACTTGCCTATTCACCTGTTAACCTTGTGCGTAGTTTTATTTACTCAATTAACAGACGAACGGTAACAGGATACGTTGAAGAAACCTTGTGATCTCAAGGCAATAACAATTAAACAAGGGGTACGTGTATCTAGTATTTTTGGGCCACGTCAGCCATTACTTTAGCACTCAGCTGCACTCAGTACCAAAACAATCCCTTGGGTGGCAAAACCCCAATATGTGTATGCCTTGTCGTTCCATTATTGTTGGCTAATTAGCTGCTGATTTAAAGCATATGGTACATCTGCTGATGACTATTTTTATGATCCCTTTAGACTGCGATCGGAATCCTGACTGACTGAGAATGTGTGGCACGTGAGAAAGCGTTTGTCCTTATTTTCTGCTGTTTTACATCAGCGGGCGACAGGCGAGAGCTCTGTACTGATCAAGAGTGAAGACTTTATGGAGTGAGCCCATGTCAAACAACAGCCCTGATCTCGGTGGCAGGTTTGGGATAGAACTGGCGGCGGTGGGTGGGGGGGGGGAGGGTGAGGGAGGGGGTTGGTAGTGGGGGGGAGGAAGAGGGTTGGGGGTGGGGAGGGAGGAGTTTAGGGGGAGCTGACACCCCCATTGGCAGTGGCTGCCTCTCAATCTCTTATTACTCTGAACAGGCCAACAGTTCAGTTCTCATTGATACACTGATACAAGGTCTCCTTGCTGGACATGAGGGTTGCTTGCTGCCACTTCTGAACAACTGTGTCCACAGTAATCAGTTCATGCATGCAGTCGTTCAGTTGGTTGTGGCTACCATAGTGCTGTTCTGCCACCAGACTCTTCAAACCAGGCAAATCCCACTTGGAAATGCTTCAGCAACACAAATCCTCTTTATAATAAATAATAATCCTGCATTTGATCTAGCGCCTTATCACATCTTCGAGACGCCTCAAAGCGCTTCACAGAATATACTGTAAAGTGAACTGACTGTACGTTTGTACGCACAGCAGTGTCCTACAAACAGTTGTGGCTTGAGTGACAAATTTATTATTTTCTTTTTTTTTTCTTGAGGGATTATTATCAGGCGTGTGGAGCAAGGAAACTTGCCCAAGGTTTCGTCCTGCCAGGAATCGAACTTAGGTCTCTCGCTTGCGGAGCGAGTGCTCTAACCACTGAGCTACAGGACTCTTTACTGTCTAATCCAAAGGGCAACTTCTCCGACCATGCAGGTCTTACCCAGCGCTGTTTTGGACTGTGACTGCCTAGACTGTGAGTTCAAAGAGCCGATGTGGTACTTGAACCCACGACCTTCTGACTCAGAGGCAAGTGCGCTACCAACTGAGCTGGGTTAATAAGTGACGGATTATAGTATAAACACGTCATCTATAGAGCATTGATGATCTGTGTGCTGAAGATATAACACAGTGCTGTATAACTATCCGTACGTTAATCCTACAGCCATCTCCAGTGGCTGATGGAGTCGTGCTGGACAGACTCTTGTTATTTCCATCTCTAAGATGTAAGCCCTGAGCCTTGCATCCAGGTATAATAAAACAAATATTGACTACACTGTTTCGGCTATAAGAGAGAGCATTGCTCCCGTGGGTTACAGAAGTGACCTCCACTGCGACAAAACATTGTCTGCATTCAGCTCCAGGCATTATAACACACCCTCAGACACTCCAGCAAATCCTCTGGTCAATAGCTGCTGCCAGAGCCCTTAATTAACTCCTTCAGAAAAGGACAGGATAAGTACCTGCTTCAGAACAATATCACGAGATATCAGGGGTAGCTGCAAACTGAGATGAACAAATACTCCAGGGGACTCAATGGTGGTGTTTGGGGGCGTGTGGTTGGGGGGGGTGAGGGTGGTGGATGGAGAGATGTTGTCTGGGGTGGGGGGTGTTGGGTGGAAAGAGGACCAGAGATTGATTAATGCAAACGTGGAGATGCAAGAGTATTAAGGTGAAAATTGGCATGTAAGATGTGTTAATGAATACACTTGTGAAAAAAATTGGCCAATCGATATCTTTATTATAAACTGGTCCACAAGCAGTTCTCTCCCCTTTTCCCCTTATCACACTGGCTGAGCTCAAGCCACACTGACTTGCTCCACTGGTAGTCTGAACAGTTTTTCCTCATTCTGCCTTCTCTTAGGTTCTCATTTGCGGTCAATGTGGAGTCCTGTAGCTTAGTGATTAGAGCACTCGCCTCACAAGCCTCGCAAGCGAGATGACCTGGGTTCGATTCCCTGTTTGTGGGACGATGCTGGGCGCAATTGGCTGCCGCGTTTTGCCCACAAAATATACAGTCAAATTCACGATATAGTGTATTCTGTGAAGTGCTTTGAAAGAATTATTATTATATAATAATATTTGTCTTCTGATTGGGAGTGAGGGGGAGAGTGCAAAGTCACTTGGTCCTGCTCAATATGAAAATCTCATTTCCCGACAGAAGCCACTTATAGTGACACACTGACTGTCAGGCCAGACAAGCAAAGATCAAATGGTTCCTACCCAAATAATAATGAAAAAATACTTTGTGCGGCAATGCCTGAAACAAAAGTGGTCGTGTTATTTCTGCTTTAAATCTTTGAACAGGCCAAACAAGGCAGATAACTTGACGGCTGTCCTGGGGACAAAGACCTTGTGACCCTTTACAGGTGCATTTGCTCCCGCACCTGGTTGGGGCGGGGGGGCAAAAATCAAAAAATCAAATTTAAAAATGTGTTGCAATTAAACCAGTTCACAGGTTACTTTTCTGATACATGGAAACTAATAATTAAGGTGTCAGCCTAGCTCAGTTGATAGCACTCTCGCCTCTGGCTAGGAAGGTATAAGGACATTGAGCTCACAGTTCAGCCCTTCGGTCTGAAGCAGCACCTGGGAAACATTGCATTGTCGGAGAACCTGACCTTTAGTTCAGACTCTAAATTTAAGTCCCTTCCAAGAGAGGTGTCCTGTCCAACAATCCTCCAGGTAAAAATAAATAATAATCATCTTTGAATTTTATTTAGCACCCTTCAAGTCAGGAAGACATCTCAAAGTGCTTCACATGAAACACTAGCGTTCAGTGGTTGTGTATTTTATAGGTAAATGCGCTATTTGTGCATAGCAGTATCCCACAAGCAGCCGAGAAGCACGTGACTAATTTTATTCGAGGGATTGTTGTCCAGGACACCCGGAGAGAGAAACTCCCTTCTCTTTTCGAGTCGTGCCATGGGATCTTTAATGTTTACCTTAACTGGCAGATGCTGACCTGATGACCTAGAAGTTGATCATTTTTAGTGCAGGAACCAGCTGATGTGCACGCCGCTGCATTACACCAGGGCTCAGTAAATATTAAATGTAAAGATTTATATAAAATGTAAGGATTGTTATACTGTGCCATTCACCAACATTATTTACACCATGCGAGGATAAACATTTGCTGCCTCTAAATGTTTCACTCTGCAGGTAAAGTGGGAATAGGCAGAAAACTCAAAAGTTCACTCGTGTTAGCCAACAGATAATAACAACAACAACAAAGTTACATTTATAGAGCGCCTTTCACGTCGGGAGGACGTCCCAAAGCGCTGAACAGTCAGATGTCAGGACCCGAGCATGGGGGAGGGGTGGTGTAGGGGTGGGGTGAGAGAAGGCAGAGTGGTGGGAGGGAGACCAAAGGCATGGTTGAAGAGAAGGGTCTGGAGACTGGCCTTGAAGGAGGCAAGGGAGGAAGCGAGGGGAAGGGACCGTGGGATGGAGTTCCAGAGTGTTGGGGCAGAAAGGCTGAAAGCCCAGACACCGATGGTAGGTAGGGTGGGTCGGGCGGGAGACATGGAGCAGACCGGAGCCCGATGAGCGGAGGGAGCGGGCAGGTTGGTAGGGAGATAAATGTTAGGGCCTAATGTCTCACTTTTCATCAAAATACCTTATACAAAACTGGCATTGTTCTTGGTGATGCTTTTGTTTAAAAACTAGGACGAGAATCTGCTTTTTGTTGAAAGGATCCCATTGATAAATCGTAATGTCCATACTGGCATTTGGAGAAAAACATCATGAAGTGAGCTGATTTAAAGGAGGTCACTACAGGGGGCTGTGGTCTCAGCATGGATTCCTGCCCACGTTCATTTCGAAGATCGAAGGTTATTCCTTTTTATTGGGCAATCTTTCCTACTTTAACACGGTTGTTGAGAGTCTGGCTGCAATGCCCAGGTGTTATAGAGTAATAAAAAGGCTTGTGGGTTAGTAATGGGTGAGAATGTCTCCCAAAACCTCAGTTCCCTCTTTGCCTGAATAAAACATCTGTCTGCAGGGCTCTGTGCAGAAGCAATGTAACAATGGTTTACTCTGTTCCGTCAGTCTTGAATATTACAAATGTGCATTGAAATGACATGAGCTACTTCTTGCAACCTGTTTAGGTCAGGGTTAGTCACTGACTTATTGTCTAGGGACCCAGCATCTCATGCAATGGCTCACTCGAGGGCCACTCCCTTGAACGCTGCAATGTGTTCAGTGCTTCAGGTCAGGAAGGGCACCAGCTAGACACAGATTAGAGCTCCCTCTACTCTGCCCCAATAATGTGCCTTACCAACCTCAGCATTGAAAATATTTCCAGTTTCCTTGAGCAGCCTTCCTTGGGGTCTCTCGAGATAAGGTTGCCAGTTTAATGTCAACGAGGGTTGAAAAGAAGGAAGTTTTATGCTGCAAACCCACATTCTCAAAATCATTTCCCTCCCAGAGAGAGGAAACTTTCACCTGGGTCCCTGAGGTAACCTGACAGGCTGTGTGAGTTCCAGTATGCTGGGTTACACATTTCCCTGTTTTTGCCCGATTTGCCTATTCTTTCACACGTTTTATAAAATTTAATCTCGCTACATATTTTGACACCATAACAATTTTCCCAGTGAAGCGCTTTTGGATACATTTCTCTTATAGCCGTTCCTTTGGCACAGATGTCAACACTGATTATCATACCACAGATGTGCTGATTAAAAAAGTCAGTAATTTTCCTTTTTTTTACAAATATCCATAGCAGTTGAGCAGGAAGTGTCCAGATTGAGTTGTGATCTTTTGGCCCTTTTGCCAGTTTTATGGTTAGATATTTAGTTTTTTTTTGTAGGGCCCAAATACTGTGGGGTTGTTAAAAAAAGGCAGATGATATTGCAAAGGTTTAAGATTTGAGTATATGTCCTATACATCATATATGTAGCTTGAGTTACAAGGTCATTTAGCCCTGAAATATTTTCCATAATCCCACTCTGAGACACTATTTATTGTATGTATAATAATAACACCTCAAATGCCATTATAGCCTCCTTAGGACACCACAAAAATCCTAACAACCTTTTGCGTATTTTCATGTAATTTGAAGTACATTTGAACTAAATTCCACAAGAGTCATTATGACTGCAAGTACCCTGTGTTACAAGCATAACTCACCGTGGGGAGCATATCCCATTCTTGATTTGGCTATTCCCTGCCTCAGCTGAGGAGTAAATTACATGTTGCATTGTTCTAAACTGTAATGGTTGGGTAGATAGATCTTGAATTCCCTCTCAATACACGTCTTATGCCATTTGTGTGTGTGTGTGTGGTGTATGTGTGTGTTAATAATCTAGAATAAATATAACAACAGTTTGCTTATTAAGAGATGGGTGTAAGATTATTTAGCAACGTTGAAGTATCAACAACAACTTGCATTTATATAGCGCCCTTCACACCGGATAGCGTCCCAGAGAGCTTGACAGTGGCGGAGTCTAGTACCAGCTACTAGAAGTGGAGAATGTGGACAAGCTTAGGCTAGATTACATTAGGATTCAGGAGCAGATATTCCTGTAAAGCTCTGTGAATGTGAGCGACACTTGTTTTAAGCACATCATTTAAATTAACTGTACTCATTTTGTGACTGAGTTAAACTCATCACACTTGAGAAGAATCTTGAACAGCACTGCTAACAGTCTGGAACAAACTGCCTGAAAGGGTGTTGGAAGCAGATTCGATAGTAGCTTTCAGAAGAAACTTGGAATATGTACTTAAAAAGGAAAAATTTGCAGGGCTATGGAGTAAGATCGGGGGAGTGGGACTAGATGGTAGCTCTTTCAAAGAGCTGACACAGACACGATGGGCTGAATGGCTTCCTTCTCTGCTGTAAAATTCTATGATTCTATTGCAGTTCTCTTGCATGAAGCTGATGACTGAAATGTAGTGAGAAAGGAATAAGGGATCACGCACTATATCAAAGAACATAATTCACCAGCACTCCTATTGTTCAATTACCTTCACTTTATTCATATTGTTGTACCAAGGTCTAGTGTTTAAACCCTTCAATTCTTCTGAAAAATTCTTAGACTTGGGGAAGTGGGAGGGGAGGGAGAAAGAAGGCTAAAATTATTCGAAGATTCAAGTTAATTATCCCTTGGAATGAAGTAAATTTTCTTTATCACTTTGGCCTTTTGTGGGCCATTCACCCAGAAAACACACAGTCACTACACTTTACTGTATCCTTGAAGCACTTTGGGACATCTTTCTGATATGAAATATGCTATAAATCTAAGGATTATTATCTAATCATTTCTGAAACGTGATTTTTCTCTCTTTGTATTCCTCATGCCGAATAAAATACAGATGACTTTTTAACCTGCCAGGGCTTCAATATAATGGGGTGAATGCTACTTTCCTCTCTCCACCCTCCCCTACCTGCTTTTTTNCTTAACCAAATCACATTGGACATGAATTCTTTAGTGCAGCTTATATAGAGGCGACTGAAAAGATGGAAAAGTACCAATCAGACATTAAGTTGAAATGTAAACAGAAGAAGGAGTTAGTGTCAGACTAGCTGAAGGACTGACTACTCACCTTATGTCAAAGTAATAGACTGGCTTAAGATCAGTAAATAATGAGACAGCTAATGCCAAAGTGCTGTTTTCACTACCTTATTGAAGTCACATCTTCACCTCCTGCTTAAGAGCTACCTTTCACAGACAAAGGGTAGACTGCTAATCCTATCTATATATTGAGGCTACTGGAATAGAAACATTATTTTCATTGTATCATACACCGTATTTCGTACAAATCATCTTTTAGTGCGAATACTTAACCCCAATGTGCAGCTGTTAATTTCCTTGACAGGGTGAAATATGAAATATTATCAGCTACACTTTGTTTGTGATCCCTTCCCCTTCATTGGTTGTGAGTCGAGTTTCAAAATTAAATTAAATAGAGCAGATGTGACAACTGAGACGGAGTCGGGTTGTGTTACTTCAGATTTTTTTTGATGCGCTCTCAATTTCTGCTTTGTATTGCAAATTTCTGACACAGTTCCTTCCCTCCCCATCTCAGGCTGCGGTGGAATCTGATACAGAGGGGACTTCGTTTATAACCCCCCCACCCCCAAGTTGAGCGGTTGTTGATAAGTTTGCACGGTTTAACTTTTCCCTTTGATAACTGACATTGATTTCAAGTTGTCATGTCATCTGGCCTTGAAGGAAAAGAACGAGAGAAAACCTTTGAGAACTCACTCTCTCTCTCTCGCTCTCCCTCCCTCTTGACCAATTTGTATGTGTTCAAGGCTAGGGTACTTTATGCCATCCACAAGTTGCTGAGCAGACTAGCTGCTCTGGAGAACATGCTTGAGGGGTGACACCTGTTCATAGGACAGCCAGACCCAATGAAACACATAAAAAAAAAGCCCTTCGTGAGGTTGAGGAATCAAAGCTTAAGGATAAAAATATAATTTTACCTCTTCCTAATCCTGAGCTTCCAGAGGTGATCTTTGACCCAGGAGCTTGTGTGGTATGTGGTGCATATTTCACAGGTTTTTCTTCATCTTGTCTCTCCTTTCAGAACAAAGAAACCAGAGAAAGTAGGTAACACTTCTTTAGCAAAATGACAGACACACTAAAAATAAAAGCTCATGGAAAAAAAATTATACAGTCTGGTTCTATTTAATTCAGGCTTACTGAGTAAAACTGACAAGAGATAATTAAGAGGCTGAACATCCTAACTGAGCAGTCACACAGTGGGGCCACACAGAAAGCTGGGACTGCTGCCCAAAGCCCTTGAGTAGTTGGGAGAGGTCACTGGTCAGTGTAATTTCAGGAAAAGCTAATTTCTCAACTACCTTCAGCAGGTGGCATGGAGCTCAACAACTATTTGCTGAAACTAGACTGAGCGAGTTTCTTTTCTTAAAAGAAAGGTCATGACAGACAGGAAGACAGGAGAGGAGGAGAGAGAGAGAGAGGGAGGAAAGGAAAGGAAGTTAAGGGAAGAGTGAAATAAAATCTTATAATCTATCTTGTTAAGAACTGCAAGGAAGAGTCAGCGAAATGGAGGTAAATGAACGGAATGTACAGGGTTGGTACAAGAAGCATAATAAAAATCGAACGAGTCAAATTGCTTAGGAAGTTCTATAAACGTGACATGGCGCACACACACACGCACACACACACACACAGGCTGCTCACACCTTGCTGGAACACAAGTTCATAAGAAATATGCTGCATCCCTTGCATATTAAGAGATGGGTGTAAGGTCATTTTGCAACGTCGAAGTACCAACAACAACTTGCATTTATATAGCGCCCTTCACACCGGACCCCAATTTTTTAAAGCAAAAAAACAAAACAAAAAAAAGGTGCCCATGTTAACCAGTGCAGCTGGTGACACTGTTCTGCCTGCAGCAAGGTCAGGAGCGAACAGAGACAAGTATTGTTTTTCCAGCACACAGCAAAAACATTGCACAGGGCACTTTTTTTTTAAAAAGCACAGCTGCGGTCACATTTCCCTGGCAGTGACATGATCAAAAGGTTCAACCATTGCCGCAGACGACTCTTTAATTATTCAGTTACCATTCCGATTTCTGCTTTAATGTACGAAAACGTTAAGAGCAAGCGGTGCTTGTTATTAAAAACAAAAAAGGATCGCCAAGCGTGGGGGGTAAATCTACGTCTGACTGACGCAACGAGGAGATCAGTGTTGACTTATCTTGCGTCCAGGTAATTTGATTAGAATAAAGACCCAAATGTGTGTGCTGATACCTGGCATCCTTCGGATCTGTTAACGAAGATTTGATTAGCTCTGCACAAATGCACAAGATTAAACCACTCAGCGAGTGAAATTCAAGCCACCTGCATTTATAGATCAACATCAATAGGGGGATAATGCTACGTTTTCCAAATGAGTAAATCCAGCCTATATTAAAAAAATAATTAATTAATAATGAGTTTTCAGGCAGGCAAAATCTAGCATCACTACCTGGGATTTACAATATCAAAGCACATGGCAGCAACTCATTGCCTTCATTAAGAGTTAACCAAATTTAAATATAATTTTCAGACCAATTTCCTTTCATGAATTAATAAAAGTCTTAAGGTTTTTTTTGCAAATTATAGTTTCATAATTCATTATCAGCCACCGTTTAAAGAATGACTGAGCAGCTAATAAGCCATGAGGCTAAACATTGTCTGGTTAACTAACATTTTGTGTCATCTTTTTTTGAAAAAAGGCCTTTTTTTTAAAAAGAAATTAAAATAAATCAAAATGCGTTTCCAATTACTTAATGATATGATCAAAGTGATATTTTTAAAGCAAATTTTCTTTCTAATCTCATATTGGTGTGCTTTTGTGTTTGGGCTACCCAGTCATAACGGTATTATTCCAAAATAAATGGTGTTGTTCCTGTATTCTAATATATGATCTTTATTGATCATGATACCTCTGGTGGTCAATCAATTACAAGAAAAAAATCATAAAAATCCTTGCATTTGATGCAGTGTCTTATCAATCCGTCAAGACGTCTGAAAACGCTTCACAGGATATACTGCAAAGTGGATTAACTGTATACTTTGTGGATGAAACGCAGCAGCCAATTGCCCACAGCAGTGTCCCTCAACCAGTCGTGAATTGAGTGACCAAATTATTATTATTTTATTATTTATTTTTGTTCAAGCAAGAAATGGACAAACACTTGGGGAGAAAAAATATTGGAAGTTATGGCGATAAAACAGGGAAGTGAGATTAGGGAGGTGGTAGTACAGGAAATACTTCTATGGGATGGTCTTTGCACAAAAGGCCAAATAGCCTTCACCTGTGTGTTTGTTCACTCAAATCCCAAAGCAAAAATGTGCATTACCAGGTTTCAAAATGCATTCTGCAGAGTAACCAAGAACACACAGTATGTTAGTGTCCCGATGCCCTTTGTAAAGACACTCAAATTAACCACTGTTTTAAAATGGTTTCTCCCTCATGCGTGTTTGTACTTTTCGGATTCAATGGTACAAATCTATTGTGATACTGTCCCAAAGAATGAGCCAGTTGGTTTCTGAGCCTTGTTAAGAACAGGGAGCATAGAAAATTCAACAACAACAATTTGCATTCATATAGCACCCCTCACGCAGGGTGGCGCCCGTTCTCTTTAGACTCAGAGAACTGATAATAATAATAATAATAATCCTTGCATTTGATACAGCATCTTATCACATCTTCTAGACATCTCAAAGCGCTTCACAGAATATACTGTAAAGTGAATTTAATGTATGTTTTGTGGGCGAAACGCCTGCTGATATACTAGTGCTTAGCTTATTTTTTTAAAAAAGCATTTTGGAGATAGTCCTTTATTTCAACGTAATCTTTTACAATCTAACACTCCATGACCTGAGGACTTTTTTGTGTTCTTGTTTCTCCTTCTGCTCCTTCATCTCCTGTGTTTTTCTCATGTCGTACGTTTCCCATGTCAACTCCTTCAGCAATCTATCCCTCCGTCTGTCTCCGCATTGTTTTCCTTCTGACTCTCATCAGTACTGCAGGTACTTCCTGAGTCATTGATCCAGTTGGGCTAGAGCACCACATCAATCTTAATTCCTCCGTTGTTTTTAAACCTGCTGGGACTTCATTTGGGGGAGGACTTCATCAGAACGCTGTGATTTTCATTTGAATAGCAGTCAAACAAAAATAAACTTTTCTTTCAAACTGTGCGTAGAGCAGAAGAACTTGCAGTTTTATAGCACCTTATCATGAAACATCTCAAAGTGCTTCACAGGTTATTACTGTCGAGTAAAGTGAATGTTTGTTTTCGTAGGAGGCCATGAGGCAAATGACTAACTTTAACAGGGAGATTGTTAACCAGGACACTGAGAGAGAGAAACTCCATTTCCTTTTTCAAATAGTGCCGTGGGATCTTTAATGTCCACCTGAACAGGTATAGCCGGGACCTCGGTTTAATGCCTCATCCAAAGGACGGCACCTCTGACAATGCACCACTCCCCCAGTACTGCATTGGGGTGTCAGCCTCGACCGTGAATTCAAAGTCCTGCTGTGGAGCTTCAACCCAATTTTCTGAACCACAACCGTATGTCAATTATGGATGGCCTATGATACTGCGTAATGTTTAATTAAAGAACAAATATAGAAATCTAGGTTTGAAGGGAATTAAGTAGCCTTTAAATAATTCACCAAGTACAATGTTATTGAACCACCTAAATTTGGAAGTTACTGCACTATTCAGGATTTAAAGAAGAAAATTTGACAAGCAGACGGATACCAGGATTTAACTTATTTCAAAATGAATAACAAAGAAGCACGTTGTGTCGTGATGGAAAATGTCTAGTGAGGCAAAGTGAAACATCTTCCCTTAATTATTCCCCATCTAGTTCTCCCTCTCTCTCTTTCTCTCTCTCTTCCACTCCGGAACAGCTTCCAAAAATCCCAAGCTGTATCTATGTAAAATACTCTTATTTCTGTTAAACAATTTACACTGCTGCTTATAGATGATTATGCACAGGATCACAGGTAACAAATTAACCTCCTTTCCTATTAACATCTTCTCTGACAAACTAAATTATTATCAAATGAAAATAGTGGAGTAAATGACTCCTCTATTCTAATTCACTGCTTGTAACAAGCAGCTGATTTTTTTTAAATAGTGCATAATATGTGGACAGGCAAAAATTGGATTTTTGCTCAAACATGCACAACTCTAAGTGTACAAACACATTTAAGCCTTAAAATATGTACCTTTGACTGTGGAGAGAAAAAATGTGGCTAGGATTTTTGGTACCCAAATTATAAGACTTGATTATTCATTATCCAAAGTGCATTATTATTTGCAAGGTTCCCAGAATGGTTCAACCAGATTTTTAAAAATGTACTAACTTCACGGCTTTTTGTGGGTCTTTGCTGTGTGCAAATTGGCCGTTGCGTTCGTCTACGAATACATAGTCACTACACTTTACAGAAAATTCTGTGAAGCACTTTGAGACGTTTGCTACGTGATAAGCTGCGACATCGAATGCAAGGATTATTAACATCGGATTAGATTGCACAGCGATACAGATCCGGAAGGTGTCAGGTTTGATCATGAGTCTAGGTTGAGTTAGATGGTCCCAACTTTCATTGCATTGGTTACAATGCTAATAATAATAATCCTTACATTTGATATAGCCCCTTATCATGTCTTCGAAACGTATCAATGTCACAAAGGGCAAAAACTAGGTTACCAGAAAGGGTGAGGCCAGGGCTTAGGAACCATGTAAGTGTTAGCTTGCTGCTGTAATGAAAGGACATAATGGTGTGTGTTCTAGACGACTGAGATCAAATGGGCCAGAGCTCCTTCTTCGTCGGAAGCTCTTGTGAATTCCAAGGAATCCCACTAAGAAGCATCACGAATCAGACCACTAGAGATGCACATAAGATAGTTTCTAAGAGAGAATCCACAAGTGGAACGACTTCTGTCATGTGAGAGAACAATCCTTTACATTACATTACATCATATCCTTTCGCTGGCAATAACTTCAAGGCAGCCTCTCACAAATAGACACCTCAGAAGGGAAAGCTGACTGCAA